AACGACACGAAAGAGCCTTAACGTCGACTGTGGATCAATCGTCTATGCTTTTGGAGGAAAGAGGAGCATCCGTTGCGGTTGGAGAAGAGGCGGGGGAACTTTCACGTATTGCATCTCACTTAAACCTCGAGAACATATGGCAAAAGATCGCATCATCTAGGGTCATGAGGTTCTTTAGTCCACGTATCTACATGAGACACGCTCCTGACAAAGTGGTAGCAGCCTACGAGTTATATCAAAAAGCGGGCGTTGACAAGGTGACAAAGAATCTCTTCGATAGCCGTGCGTATCGCAAGTGGTCGAGATATTTGAACGACGCCTTTTCAGACGATTTCAAAAAAACGTCAAATCTTAAGGTGTCAGTACTGGTGGAACACGGACAGGAAATGCTAATCAATTCCATTCTGACTACTCAGCTTGTCAAACGTGAATTACCTTTTGGCGGTTATTTTGAAGACGCGCTGATAGAGTTTCTCGCCAACGCTAAGGGTGTTCAAAAAGAATTTGCTGATCGTCTTGACGACGCACTGTTCAAATATTGTAAATATTTGCAGACGGTTGATGGTAGCCCAAAGGGTCTTGATGATAGAAGCTTTAAGGGCATTGGTGAGCGAATAGAAGGTAAACTCCTCTTTGAACCGACTACCAGCAACACGAAGGATCTGGTTGACGATGATACTGTTCATCCAATATTGTCATCTAAACGGAACGGGAGAAGAGAGCCCCATATCTACTTGAGAGAAGCCTATGATAAGGAGCAAGCAGCTCTCATACTATTCAAGAATGCCCACGTTGACAAGGTAAAGACAGATCTCTTCACTAGCCATGAGTTCCAAACTTGGTCAAAAATTATTGCGGACGCCTTTCCAGATGACCCAAAACTGGGGGCCGGCATCATGGTGAACGTAATGTGGAGAATTGGTCGCAGTAGACTGGTTGACGCCATTTCGACTGCTCAGGTTCTCAACGGCAAATTAGCTTTTGGTGATCACTTTATAGACGCGTTGTTGCTGATGTCGCCTATCGTAGAAATATTTG